GGCCGCCAAACCGAAACATGGCAGAAATCCATGAAGTCACTGACAAGTGGACTGATTCATGTTGGTAGATGTAGGCTACGTGATCGGGGTCTGCGAGACGATGGTAACCGATGGTTAGAGACCTTGAATGACATGGCTCCAAATCGTTTGCAATGGCGCAGGTGAATCCAGTCTTTATGTTCTCTCAAATCAATCTTCTGGATTCGTCGACATCTCTACCTTTGTCTTTCTAAACTTATCTCACTGAATTATGTTCTTGAATAAAAAATATCTTGGAACCCTAATCTTCTCTATTACCAGTAATACTCCTACTATCTCTACCACTAAGGGATTTGAACTGACAATTGCGTCTCTGTGCTAATGTGGTATGGCAACTTGAAATGATGTAATTACGTACCAAGTTCTACGTTGCATATGACTGACTAGTGAATATCCACTTATTATTTCTAGTCGTTTTCAATTTAAGTTTCAAACTACTTAGTGATCATGAAATTATTTTCCCATTATTATGATAAACGAAACCCTTCCAATATATTTTACTGCCCAGTGACTGAACGAGATCTGAATGGGCTTACTTTTTATCTCTAACTGTTACCGAAGGTCTATGACAATTGACCTTCTCTTGTGATATTATTATACCTCAAATTCTACTTTGCATAATGATCACTTTCGTGGATTAAACAATTTTAAATGAAGTGACCGATTGTTTGTAGAACGGATTTTAAATATTCCCAGTGTATAAATAGTGAATAAGTTCCATTTTTCTTAACTAAAGTTAGTTGAAACCACTATATTGACCAGTTCTAGTACTAGCTACTCTTTGATGTCTGATCATATTTGATCTAAACAAGAAGATTTGTGATGAGGAACAAGTACCATCAGATTGGAAAGAAGGATACCTCATCAAAATACCAAAGAAAGGTGATCTCAGTAAACGTGAGAACTACAGAGGCATCACTCTTCTCTCAATACCAGGCAGTCTTCAACAGGGTATTGTTAAACAGAATGAAGGACTTCGTAGGCGCCTAACTTCGAGATCAACAGGCTGGATTTCGTAAGGATCGACCGTGTACTGACCAAATTGCTACATTACGGATCATTGTGGAGCAATCAATAGGGTGGAACTCACCACTCTACATCAACTTCATCGACTACAAGAAAGCATTCGATAGCGCGGATAGAAAAAGACTGTGAAGGCTTCTTCGAAACTACGGTGTGCCTGAGAAAATAGTTAACATCATACGGAATTCTTATGATGGATTCAACTGCAAAATCGTACACGAAGGACAACTAACAGACTCTTTCGAGGTGAAGACCGGTGTCAGGCAAGGTCGCTTACTCTCACCCTTTCTCTTTCTTCTGGTGATCGACTGGATTATGAAGGCGTCGACATCTGGAGGGAGGCATGGCATTCAGTGGACAGCGAGGACGCAGCTGGACGATCTGGACTTCGCAGATGACCTGGCTCTTCTATCGCACACGCAACAACAAATGCAAGAGAAGACGACCAGTGTAGCAGCAGCCTCTGCAGCAGTAAGTCTCAACATTAATAGAGGAAAAAGCGAAATTCTCCGATGCAACACAACATCCACCAACCAAATCACTCTTGATGGAGATGCCTTGGAGGACGTTAACACCCTTACATATCTGGGCAGCATCATCGACAACCAAGGTGGATCCGAAGCAGATGTGAGGGCGCGGATCGACAAAGTAAGGGTTGCATTTTTACAGTTGAAAAATATCTGGACCTCCAAACAAATATAAATTAACACCAAAATCAGGATTTTCAATACAAATATCAAGACAGTTATACTGCATGGAGCGGAAACTTGTAGAACTACCGAAGCCATCATCCAGAAGATACAAGTGTTTATCGACAGTTGTCTAGGCGAAATACTTCGGATTCGTTGGCAAGACACTATCAGCAACAACGAACTGTGGGAGAGAACAAACCAGATTCCAATGGAGGGGGAAATCAGGAAGAAGCGGTGGAAGTGGATGGGAAACACTTTAAGAAAAGCACCGGACTGCGTCGCTAGACAAGTCCTCACCTGAAACCCCCAACGCAAAAGGAAAAGAGGAATGCCATAGGACACATTACGCCGAGAAAGAGAGAAAGATATGAGAGGAATGAACAAAAATTGGACAGAACTGGAAAGCGAAGCCCTGGACAGAGTTGGTTGGAGAAAACTGGTGGGCGGCCTACGCTCCATCGGGGGTAACAGGCGTAAGTAAATAAGTAAGTAAGTGTATCTAAAATCATCATCACAAATGTTATTAGCAAACATTCTTTCAATTAAATATTTGTCGTCGTAAAGTGGTTTTAATTTTTAAAATTAAGCTCTCTATCAAAATAAGTAAGCTATGGAAAATATATCTTCCGTACCTTATCATAGACATCCGATAGGCAAGAATATTTTATCAAGAATACAAGTAAATGCGTTTAGCTGATAACTTTGTTTATCAATCTGATATTGGTAATTGTTTGTCCTTTATTAAAAAAATATCACGAATTTATACGATGACCAATACAATCTACCGAAAGGTAAGCACTCTAAAGGGCTAGTGGGATCAGTGAATAATTAACACACTTGGTGTAAGAATGGTCGATATAATTCAACAACTTCGTATGTAACAGCTTTTGAACTCGAGCGCAGAATAACTAGTTCTCTTTATTAGAATCTATGGCATATAAAGTACGTAGAGGAATATAGTGATATTTCAAATAACACTACCAAAACATTTTATTAAATTAGTGAGCAGCCTGTTTTACAGTTTCACAGATAGTCTAATAAAAACACTTGATGAAGAATTTGTAAATATGATTTGAGAAAAATGGTTCGAACATTAGAAAGTCTTTAAGAAAGTCTAATTAGTTGACACGTAATTCTTTCTGGTGTTGCGAACCTCATTCGTACGTTCTTAGGTTTGTGGTTCTCAACAACGAATGGTCGAGTAGACATTCAAAAATGCGGAATAGTTGTTTGGAAGTATCGGAGAATAGCCTAAAATTATTAATGATAATAGCTCAAAGACTAGTATTAGAAGCATACTTAGTTATTTTATAGACAACTTCACCTGATCGCTGTTCGCAACTTCCGGTAATTGAAACTGAATCGATATTTGAAAATCAGCCACATCTCAAAATCCAGTGTTCTGTGACGCTGTTCTATTAACACTATTGACTACCAAGTTTTACGTTACGTTTCAAAAAGAAATATGTGCGTACCACATGCGCATGACCAATATCCAGTGATTGGTACTACATCTTGGAACTCCAGAACTCTCAAATTTAGTTGATGAGTTCTACGGCCTATCTTCATTTTAATCGATTTTAATTTGAAGAAGGATAATGATAAATCGTTTTTGTAAATTCACCCAAAACGGTGAAGTAACTTAGTCAAAATGATTATATCACAAGGACAGTATTACCAACAAAACTGCCTGTTGTTGTTACTTCCCTGGTATCTGTTGGCGATACGGAACAGGAGTAAATGCGAAGAGGGGGAACCACAACTCGTCAACTCACAAAAAGCTACCAACCATGTAAGGGCTTATGGAGTAAATTCACTCACTTTATTCAATGTTCCACTGCTGGAGAGGAGCGTGATAGAAGTTAGGGCTAACTTAGATAAACAACTATTGTGTAAATACTGCAAAATCCTTAAAATGTGCAATATTCTGGCAAAAATGTGCCGGCTGTTTCAAATGACAGAACGTCTCGTAAGAGAAACCCCTCCAATTGGGTTAACATTGAACTCGGCACAACCTGCCTTCCTCAACTTCTTCCTCTCATCCTAGAGACCCTTGTATAAGTCGTCAACCTCGATCTGTTGAAACACATTTTACGGACCGCATTTATTATGATCCCTCCAAATAATCCAAATTCTCCAACAATTTAAAATTGAAGCTAAATGATATGAATGAAAATGTGAATAATCAGACTTTGAGGATATCCTATGGGCGTGAGTAAAAATCCAAAGTATATGGTAATATCACGAATTACACTTAAAAAGTAGAAAATACACTCCAAAATCATTTCAGTTATCACGATCCTTGATGATTCGTGACTGTTTACTCATAATTAAGATATGCGCTAATAATATTCTATCCCACTGATCTAGAATGTATAGATCTTCAATTTTTATTGTTATTTCTCGTTTGTCTCTTATTAAGTCTTCCATATCACTCTCAAATTTATATCAAGCAAAGTTGGGTTCAACGTGAATAGGACACAACTGTTTCTCAAACATCTCGATTATAGAGTTCTAACGAACTAACAGACCCATGGCTCTGTAATCCACCAAAGAATTCCGTACCGATGGATTTGGATCTTACAACACTCAACAACACGCCCAGCAACCAGTTTTAGTACCTTAGCACAACCAGTCTCTTTTCAGTACACTACTTTCATCCTTCATTAGATATACGGTTGTGGTCTAGCCCAGGTAACATCCAGATCTCGTTAGGTCACTCCCTATCCAAGAGGTACGTTGCGTGTTGAAGAGAAACGTAAATGGATCAGCGCATTTCAGGATTCGAAGTAGAAAACGACAAGATAATGTTAAGTCAGTAACTGTTTAGGTAGATAAAATTCACTTGCGTCTAACAATAAGTCTCACCGATGACGATAATCAGCAACATTATCATGAAATTAAGTCATTCTGTCAACTAAAATTAGTGATTGGTTGATGTACATTTTGACTACATCGTGTTCTGTTTCATAGCACGGTTTATTAAGAATCAGTTCTGCTAAGGTTTTGGCTTCCATTTGAACGGTAGCTTAACAAAACAATATACGATTGCAACGGCTAAGACAGTTCTGTAGTACCATGTATACTATACTTAAACGTAACCAGACAAAGTCAAAGTGGTAGTATCAGCAGATGCTTTGTTATTACTGTAGGTTACATTGATAGACTTCAGAAAACTGCAAGAGGTCGTCGTACTACTTGGATGCACTTCAATAAACTAATCCCCTGAAGATAGTTATGATATAATTTCTTGCAACAACAAGTGAATTTTTATTGGGGGTTTGTAAACCTTGACAGCATTTTACAAATCAAATTTAATTAACTTATGGTGAGACAAGTTAACAAAGACAACTAACTAAGATTATATTTAATAGACCACAATTTAATTTGTAATTTCAAAAGGTATGCATTCAAATATGGGAGAATAATCGTTTAACTTATTTTAAAACAGATGAAGTTATCAATGTGGAACACAAGAATGATAAATAATAATAAAAAGAAATCACTTTACTGTTGGTGTGCTAACAAACTACCAACCAAAATTTCAACTGAAAGCAATTTCACCACTTGATTCCTTTTATTACTTCATTTAGAGTGGCTGCACTCTTTTTTAGTTTACTCAATTCATCCGAACTAAGTTCTTGAAGAATAACATGACTGATTCCAACCGAAGTAACAAGACATGGTAAACTCAAGTAAACATCTTCTTCAATTCCGTGAATTCCTTTGACAGGAACAGAGAGTGGATAAACTGTATGAAGGTTATTTAACAGAGCGTTGCATAGTGATCGACAAGTCAACCCGATTGCCCACGAGGTATAACCTTTCAGGCGAATGATGTCGTAGGCACTCTGGACAACTTGCTTGTGTATTTCATCGAAATGCTGAGGATCCTTATCATATCCTATCTTCGGATTCAGAGAAGATAGTCGAACCCCACCAACATTAACACTACTCCAAACAGCTACACTGGAGTCCCCGTGTTCACCAATTACATATCCATGGACAGAATTAGCAGACACCTGTAATTTCTCACCGAGCAGAAAACGAAATCTTGCCGAGTCTAGCATTGTACCAGTTCCGATTACTCTGTGAGCTGGAAATCCACTCAATTTTCGTGCAACATATGTCAAGATATCGACAGGGTTTGACACAACGACTATAATACAGTTTGGACTGTATTTGACAACATTTGGAATTATTCCTTTGAATATTTCCACATTACGCTGAACCAAGTCCAATCGTGATTCACCTTCTTTTTGTCTTGCACCAGCAGTGATAACGACAATATCTGAATTTGCAGAGTATTTATAGTCAGTGCCTCCATCAACCTTGCATCTGCTCAGAAACTGTTGACCATGTTGTAGGTCCATTACTTCTCCTTTAACTTTATCTGCCAGAACATCTACCAATGCGATTTCTCCAGCTACTTGCATAGTAGAGAACGCTGCTGCCATTCCGACCATTCCAACACCTACAACAGTTACTTTACTGCGAAAACGAGACTCGACATTTGATGGAACCACCGGTTTCATCAAGGAATTCATATACGACGACATTTTTTAGAGAAAACAGGTTAACAGGGTTGACAATGCGATTTTGTGCAAGATAAAAGCTGTTGCAGGTGATCAAAAAGAAATATTTTGCAGTCAGACGATGCCAATAATGTACTTTAAACTAATATGTGATGTTTTTGTTATGAGTTAAATATTTACAACAATAATGGAAAAGTGGAAACATAATCTACATTTCGAAAGCTTACCTGGAAAGTTGTATTCTAATGGTTGAGTTAAACAACCTCAAAAAAAACCAATCCACTTTCAAACTTTCATTATAACATGACAATGCTACCTATCTATCTGAGCATTTAAAGTTTCAGTGATGAACAGTGTTGGTTGGATTTGTTAATAGTTTTCGCCATTATTCAAAGTTTTCATCAATGACATCTAGCTTTTACAGTCATTACCATTAGTTATAAACTGTTGTTGAGGTCGACATTGCGTTCTCTCGTGCACTTTGCGCGTTACAGCTGCTATCGTCCTCTGAATTCGGGTGTTTCGTGTATCACATCTCATTCTTTCTCGCCACCGTGATGTATCAATCAACATGTCTTTTGTAAACACAATACATAGGTCAGCAACTTCTTCATCTTTGTATTATCGGCTCAACCTCACACAATACTGCCGGATAATATAGGATATTCAGGAATCACTGATTCTCCTTCAGGCAACTTCTGTGTTTTACAAATATATTTGTTTCTTAACTCGTATTTGTGTGTTCTCCTGTCTGATATTTTTCACCTAAATATTGGTATGCCGTCCAATTACGACTGTCTCTGCATGATACATGTGGCGGTAGATACATACATTAATTCTGATCCATTAGTTTTAACTAACACATCCTTAACTAATGGCGGCCTGTAAGGCATTCTTACTAGGTCACATTTGGGTACGCCATACTGCGCATCCCTTGAAAGGTATCAGCCGACACATATTAAAACGTTTTGACACATCAAACACCTGCTTTCTGAGTTCTGAAATAACTGGCTTACGAATCATCCACTAAACGGTGCGGAGAATAAGAGCGTTGTCATGCGCGCAGCATCTGCACCCTCTTTCCAATATCTTTTACAAATGCTTGCCTTGCGCCCGATTATCCCTCTTTCGGCACTGTTCCGGGCGTTTGATAGTGTTAAATGGATGGGTGAGCAGCCATTCGACTGCACTAATTTTAGTCATTTGGCAGTTTGCATGTCCTGTGATTTGAATGAGGACGTTTGTTCAGGAGAAGTAGGGTTTTTGGATAACAGCAGATACCACATTGCCACGCCAGAGATCAGTTAGTTGCATTGTGGAGAATAATACGGAGAGAATTTTAACGCTATTAAGAGTAGGATTTCAGGACTAAGCAAATGATGGGTAATCTAGTTTATCATTTGGTAGTGAAGATTGTGTGAGAGGACCGAAGTGTAGGCAAGGGAGAGGAAACAGAGATAACTGGCAAGATACATTCAGTTTGTGATCGGAGGAGATGGTAGTAATAACGACTAACAAGTCTCGAGGCACGCATCAGGCAGAGCTGGTCCAAGGGAGAGAAGATCATCCGTATTCGAACACTTGAAGGTAATTAGAGAGTGGACTGTGATCACTTATACTGGGAGACCATTCCAAGTTGAAAAGACTCTTATTGAGAAGTGTGCTCGAACCTGAGTGTTCGCTCTCTGATGCGCAATTTTCGAGGGTTACCTTGAGGGGAGTGGTGGTGATGTTTCGGTCAGATGTTCACGTTCGGATGATTCGACATGCTTCATATGTTGCACGTCATTATCAGGTCACCTCTGGTTCTCCTGTAACTCAGAGAGAATGATCCCATGAGCTGGTATCTATCTTCGTAAGTTTTATCATTCAACACTATCACTCATTTCGTTACTCGTCTTTGCACCTGATCCAAGAGATTTATGTCTCTTTTAAAAAGATGGGGTGCGATGTCGTTGTGAACCTCCTAGTAGGGATGTGCATTTGTCTTAAACAGCGTTAAGACTAATTCCGTGGAGATGGCATTCACGTGTCTTCGCCGCATCCCTCAATATAGTTTGAGCTGGTTTGGAGGCTTCAAGTTGTTATTCAACCAAAATCGCGCTTTGAGGAGACATTAGGGAGCGGACTTTCGTTGAGGGTGTAAGTCGTTTGCGTCATGTGGGTCAAAATGTACTTGACGTGACAATTCGGCTGGTCTAGTGTTAAATCGCTTTTCACTGCCGAATCCTCTATAGGTGTAAGGTCTCTTTGAAGCTCAATCGAATCCTCTTCACTTCTTATGGACCTCCAGATCTTTGCACTGTCTGTGACGATCAGTGCTGCTGAGCTTACATTGTCTAACAGATCATTAACGAATATCAGGAAGAGAAGTGGACCTAGGATGGTTTCCTGTGCATTTCTCGGAAATGGGACTCGCAAACTTGTGTGCGCTCTACTTACCTTGGTACGAAACTGAGTCAAGATAGGAGTGGTTCAGTGAAGCCAATTTCCGCAACCTTTGCGATTAGGGTACAGTTTCGAAAGCATTTTCAAAGTGATCAAGGATTATGTGCACGAGTATTTTTAGGTCGCAGCAGGTTGTTCAGCCGTCCCATGATATGAAAAGATTGGATGCGCATGACCTACATTTCCGAAACCCGTGTTCAGCTTCATTGAGGATTTCGTTCTTATCCTCGCAACTGGTCATTCACCAGCCTTTCTATTAACTTTGCTAGTATTGGTAGTAATGCGACTGGTTTGAAGCAGTCTTGTTCCTTCCTATTCCCTTCTTTTAAGACTAGATAGAGAGTAGCTAGTTTCCATTCACCTGGGAGTTGTTGTGACTGTAGTGAATGCCTGAACAAGTCACATATCGGTGGACTGTAGGCTTCTGTACACTGCTTCAAGACTATGGGATGTATATTGCCGCAAGTGCAGGTCTTGTAGTTTACTGAGTGATAAGTCAGGATTAAGTTTAATATTTCCTAGCCATCAGGTGGTGCTGGGTTCAGGTTGTACCATGAATTTGTAGGTACTTGGACTGTCCAGTATGTGAAGCTGTTGTTGATGATCACAGACGTTTCTAGGTTGATAATAAATACGCCATTTGCACCTTCAGGGGCCCAAACACCCTTATTCGTTGCAGTTTGGAATGGCTACCCAGCCAAGGTGATCACGGTGTTCCCTGTAAATATCTTCAGGAATAGATAGAGATTTATCCTCTGTAGATTTTCTGCTCGTGCAATGGCGATGTTATTATCTTTGTGTATTGTGCCGTGTGTTTTGATTTGGGTCAACTGTCGTTAGTGTGCGCTTATATTTGCCTCCATGTTGCTGTCTCACAGATCTAGGTTCGCTTTCTCAACACCTAATAGGACTAATGAGAGATCGCTCCTCATGTTATATGAGGCCTGAAGCATTTCAGTTAGGTCTTCTCGATTCCTGAATTCCACAGCCTTCAGACGTGAAGACTTAATAGTCATGAGGTGTGATAGACGGTGCTGAGGAAATGCTAGTTGTCATGGTGGTGTGAAGGGCCAGGCTTTATGATAGCCACCGCCGCTGTTGCACGTCATGCGCGGGGCTTTGAGCAACCAGTTCAAGTACACCATGAACTACCGTACTGGTTCGCCGTTGTGTACCCTGTGGTTCCTTGGCTGTTGCTTGTACTGGTCACGGCTTGTCGTGCCTGACTCGGATCAGGGAAGAAAGTTTAGAAGAGGGTCTCTGGGATGTGAGTAGGATTTCTTCGGGTAATTGTTCCAAGTCTTCTTAGCGACATTCTGATCCTTGAAAAGACGGTATAGTTTGACCGAGGTACTGTTCATTCCTGATAATGTGCATTACTTGTCCAACTGTGCTTCATCAAAGGCAGCCCTACCTTCCAGTAAACTATGCTCCGTTAAATAAAATTAGTGAATTTTGTCTAGCATTCTTTTCCCTGATTTGTGGCATTTTGTGAGCTGTGGTTTTGCCGTTTTCCATTTTTACACTCTACTCCACCCACTGCTCCTTACTATCAAGAGATGCTGCGGGATTAGCAACAACCGATAGTTTCATTAATGTGTCACTTCTGGTCATGGCTACCTTGGTTGCCTGATTCGTCGGTTTAGTGCTTACTGAGTTCGATTTAGGTGTGCAGTTTTAGAGGTTCATTTTTAGTGGAGCCACTCGTTTCGCTGATGCTGAGTTTGATGTTTCAGTGATTGACTACTGTGAACAGATATACGAGAACCACGGATAGGGGTAAATCAGCATGAGCCTGTAGTGCTGCAGTATCACAGTGACAGTGAACCCGTCTACGGCAGAAGTTGCATTCCATGCAGAGCCACTGGTTTTGACTGGCATCGGGCAGACAATACAGTTATCCTTATGTGATTTTTGAGCCGTAGACTATGTCGACCGAGCCGTGGGATGCCTACTAGTGTTACTAGGAGTAGGAACTTGAGAAGTAGTGTCGTCTTGGTTTCTTTGTCGGGGACCCATTGGTGGTGTTTGTTTTAAGTGATCCGAATAGTGAACACTACTCCGAGACGCATTATAGAATGACGTTTCGAGTTTTTTGCAATTCTGTCGCTGGAGACTGGAATTATCGACTCACTGCCAACCCTGGAATTCAAACCTTTACCAGCTTTTCTGGTTGTTATAGCGTAAGTTTTGGTATCAACGCTATTATTGAACACGTTACCTAAGAGATTTAGGAACGAAAAACGGGATAATTTGAATAGGAAATTACGCGAGATGGTGGTTTTAGAAGGAACAAAATAGTAATATTAAATGTAAACTATGCAACAAAAGAACCTTGAGGTGCTCACTTTGAAGGTTGTAATTTTTTTCACGTGACTCATCTTCCTCTTTTTCCGATCATTTTACTCGTGGTCAACGGCGTATATAAACTATCGTTGTATGCACACGAATTGGTTATTCTTATTTTAGTTTTTTACTGTAGTTTTGGGCTTTAGAAGTCTGAACAGACATTGTTCATATAGCAAAAATTCTGCTTACAAATAACTTCACAAACATATCGTGTTTATCTTAAAAACACCTAATTTCGCCTGTCGCATACAACATCCGTGAAAGATCCAAATCCCCTACTAAGGTGGATCAAATTAGAATCTGTGAGAACAGTGTCTTACTCTCTCTACCTTGTATTCCGCTCAGGATGTAGATTCAACTAACCTCAAACCGAGTGACTTGACATCAACTACTGCCCTGTGTATAACATCCGAAACAAATACCTGAAAGCGCCTGCTAGAACG